TCGTACTTAAGCGATATATACTCATGATTCTTGGAAATTTGGGGTTCTTAACGGTTATGGTTTCGGAATTTGGGGTTTTTGTTATGGATTGAAATTGAGGTTGAATAATGAAAGGAAGGCTAATGGCACTTAATTGGAGTTTCAATTTAGGGTTTAAACCCCGAATTGAACCCAAATTATACTAGATTGCAACCTAGGATTTCGAGATCTTCCACAAGAATAAAAATTAAGGATTTTTGAAAATAATGACTCATATAGGTTTGAATTGGCTTGATCTCAAGAGAAATCAAGCCAATTAAGGCCATTTGTAAGACAAAATTGAAAAATAAAAAACTTAGGGTTTCGTCAAATTGGAAAAAAATTTCGGTTTGGAACTTTGATCTAATTGGAAGAGGGAGATTAGTAGAGAGAGCGAAAGAAGGATTGAGAGAAAAAGGAAGAGAGAACGAACCAAAAATCTTTGGTTCGTTTCTTCCATGGATCGGGCAAAAGAAGAGAAAAAAAAGAGATGAGGCCGTGGGAGAGGAATAAGAAGAAGAAAGACAAAAGAGAGAGAGAGAGAGAGGGACAAACCATTACTAGTTCGTCATGGAAGATAGAGAGAGAGGAAGAAGAAGAAGGAAGGAGAGAGAGAGAGAGAGAGAGAGAGAGAGAACGATTAGATGAGGAAGAGGAAAAAAAGGAATGAGTTTGATCCAAAAAAGAAAAAGAAAGGGTTTTGTTTGTGTTTTTGGGTTGGGCTAAGCCTAATCCTTGTGTAACTAGGTCTGGACCGATTCCGACCTAGCCTCGAAAAAAGGGGAAGAAAAGAGTTGGATTCCAATCTAGCCCGAAAAGAAGAAGTAAAAGAAAGTTAGGCTAGGTCTGTCCTAACCTAATCCAAAAAGAAAAAAGAAAAAGAAAATTGGGTTGGATCGAATCGCCAAAAAAAAAAATCTTTGTTTTATTTCATTTAATCTCGAATTAATTTTTTCTTTATTTTTGTTTTATGTTTAATTGTTATTTCAATGTGTGCTCGTATTTAATTAATGTAATTATGGATTTTATTTGTTTAATAATTAGATTAAGTAATCAATAGGTGGATAATTGTCAAGCCGCTTATTTTTTTAGAGAACGATGACAAATCTCTATTGATTAATAAAAAACAACAAAAAGATAAAAATAATAAACAAAAAAGAGAATCTTAATTAATTTTAATCTTAGGATTTTGTTTTCATAATTAGTTTAGATAACCAAATGGTGGATGAATTGTCGAGTCTCCTAATTTTTAGGAACCGATGACGATTCTCCATCGATAAAAAAAGAGTAGTAAAATTCTTAATGAAGTCTCCTATTCGATAGAGACTATCATTAAATGATAGAAGCATAATTATATATCTAAAGATTAAAAGTATTTTTTAAATAATTTGTCTTAGATTTTTTTGAAAAAAAATTATAAGAAATTTTTTTAGTTAAGAGTCCATGAATTTTAGAATTTTTATTACAAGTTATTAGTTAAGAATCTGGATATAAAAGAATAAATTATTTTTTTTTAGCAAAAACAATTATAAAAAAACATAATAAATATTTTGTTAAACGTAGAATTCAAAAAAAAAAATAATGGTTTTTTTAACCTTCTATTTGATATAATTTAATAACTAACAATATAACACATACCATCAAATTAAAATTATTTTTTAAAATAAAATTTATATGTTTTGTCTCAATCCGTAACATAGCGCGGGTATAAAACTAATATACATCTAAAATATATATTGATAAAAAATCATTAATTGTTCAAAAATATTATAAATTGAATTACCAAAGTTCAAATAATAATCAAAAGTTCAAATATGTTTTTTCTTAAAAAAAATTGGTTTTTTTTTTTTTTTGAAAATCAAACCAAAATTTTGAAAAACTAAACTAAAATAAATTTGATTCATATTTTTGTACAATTCAGTTTGAATTTTCGATTCACCGGGTTATAATGTATTGAAATTTTTTTATTAAAAAAACAAAAACGTCGCCATTACGTGAAATTTTGATAAGCCAAATCAATTGAAAATCACAGAGCAACACTAACTTTTGGGGTTAAGCAAACCGATCATGTCTTTTGTTTATGCATTTCTGAAACCTTTCTTGTCAATAGCTAATTGATTGTGAGAAGTTGACGTAAATAGGACCTACACCGTAAATTACGTGGACATAACAAGAAAATTTCATTTCAACGTCTTCATTCCTAACCGGGGAAAGCGAGGCCACCTTTGATAGCATATGAAAATGACAATTTTATGTATTTCATATGATGCTAAATTCTTTAAAGGCGATCAAATTTCAAGAAAAATAGCTTTCCGATGTTCAATATTCAACTCTAAATTTTGGTCTACTTTGGATTCCGTTCAATAGAGCTAATACAAGGAACAATGACAAGATTTCTAGTAACCATTTGAATGAGCTAGCTATTTAAGACACAAATATACTCGATGAACAAATGACATTGAGAGTTGCCTCCTTCCAAATCTATGTGATGCAAGCGTAAAATAACACTTTACGTGGATATCTTTTTTTTTTTTTGCGCTATAATTTCGATCGAAGTGCTCGTTAGAAATTTAAATTGTCCGTCGTAGATCGAAAAACAAATGAAAGTGCATTACCATCTTGCTCATTTGCGGAATGGTTGACATAAGTAGATAAGATCAAATTTGGTAATGTTCAAAGAATAATGTTTTTCTTTAAAATATAAATAACCTCTTCGTGCTCGGCTTCAGTATGTGTACTTTGCATGATTTCCTTCCATCAAGAACTTCAATACTTATCCCACATCCCGGTATGGCCATATACTTTGCCATCCACTATACAAATAGGCTCTCCTCAATATTGGCTTATGGCATGCGGGGAGGGTGAATGTACCATTTAATCGAGCATGTTACTAGGTATGCACCAGCCTCCATTAGGGTTTGATCCAACCACAATATTGGTTAATAGAGAGATCGGTGTTGAACTAATCTTAATCATCAAGCCCTTTTGGTTAGGGATAGCAATTTGCCCTCGATCGGATGGAGCCTTGCCCCACCCCGGTCAGCACGGGGATTCTTCGTGTTGACCAAGGAACAAGATGGGGTGGGGCGCCTCGTTTTAGTTTGCATGGGGATGAAACCGAGATAAGACGGAAATATTATTTGCTCGCCCTACCCCGTTTGTCTTGTTTCATATCTAAAATTATAATTATACCTTATATAAAATTTGTGATTACCGATTCTTAGTGGTCTATTTTCTATATAAACTATCATTTTTTTACTATAATTTGAAATTTAGTAATAGAATGGGACAAGACGAGATGGAAAAAAATAAATAAGACACTAGTATCCCGCAAGGATACTCATTCTCATTTGAAACAGAGATGGTATGAGGATGGGGTAAAATTTTCAAGAACGAGACGGGGACGGATGCATTGTCATTACTACTTTTGGTGCTCGTTCTCATGAAGGAGACTACATTTAATAGTTGAAGTAGCTAGTGGCTGCGTGCCACTTCAATTTCCTAATGAACTCTCTCATATTTTTCCTAGTGCAAACTAAATACGAGCTCGTCGATCGAATATCTAGCTACTCGCATCGCATCTTTTCGAATCGAGTTACCATCGGAGCGGTGTTATCTATAGTCTCAAGTAATGAGGCAAATATTGTAATTTAAACGAGTAAAAGAAATATAGTACAAGTTAATAATAGCTCGTAAGTTCCAAGTGGGTGGAAAAAATCATACAAATGCCGTAGTCTTTAAAATTTTGTGGCACCTTCATCTACATTTCACATTGAACAAGTACTCTTGATGTACATATTTGATTACCGCGTAAAGCCATGAAGCATTGCTGGTTCAACGACCATTGAGGATTGATTTAGAGTCGAAAAGGAATAGTAAGATATATCATCCGAAGGTATATGGATTTTTAGAATATAATCTCTAGATGCTTCATTGCTAACGAAAACTAAACCAATTCCCGCACCATGCGATGATATATTAGGCAAAGTAGCATTTCCATCCAAATATTGCACCACCTCTTTAGGATCATCCGATCTCCGAGCTCTAGTGATTTTCTCAAAAACTTGCAATCATTGGCCTCTCTCTATTTCGTTAAAATCATTTAACGTGAAAATGTTAAGTTATCTACAAAATGATATTATTTTTTGTAAATAATATAATTTAGATGTAAATATGGATGGAAAGCTTTAAAAATAAAGGAAAGCCCTTAATTGATAATTTCTAAAAATTTAAGTGTAAAATTGATACCAAAAATTATTTTGTAATAAAATTAAGATATATAGCTGGAGGTTTTTCCAAGGTTAGAAAAAAAAGCCACAATTTCCTTCACATAAAAACAAAGTGAATTATAAATTAGTCCTTCTAATTTTGTAAAACAAATAAAATAGTCTCTCTTGTTTCAAAAACCAATTAATTAGTTTTTTAATGAGTATTGAACATAATTAATTTACTATTATTTTGTTTTCAAAATATCTTCTTTTTTATCAAAATTTTCCAATTTTTTTAACCTATTTTTTTTCATTTTTTATTTAATAAAAAACAAAAAAAATTGAGTGAAAAGTATTAAGTTACAGGTAAATTTAAAACCTTAGGGAAAAAAAAATTCCACATGGACGGCATAGATGACCATTGACTACTGAGACCTGGGATGAGTGGGCAAATAAAAATCAAACGTTGCACTAACCGGGCAAAAAATATCAAGACTAATGCAGATCTTGACACGTGGACCCACTCCATAAAATCGGATGCAAACCTATTTATATTCCACCCTTTATTCTCTTTTCTCGTCCGCCCCTCTCTTCCTCTCTCTGATCTTCCTCGTCTCTCCTCTCTCACTCCACAAACTCAAACCCTAGAAATCCCCATTCCTTTCGGAAGCGAAATTTTTTATTATTTATGTCTTAAATAATCTCAATTAGGTTTTGAATATTATAAAAATTAGTCGAATTGAAATTTTGATAAAAAAAATTGAGAGGAGAGGAATGGCGTCATCGACAACAACAAGCTCCGTTTACATCAACGTCATCGAAGACGTCATCAACAAGGTCCGCGATGAGTTCATCAATAACGGTGGCCCCGGCGAGACTGTCCTTAATGAGCTTCAAGGAGTAATCAACATTCCATATCCCTTTTTTTAATTTTTAATTTTTAATTTTGCTGTTAATCTTTTAGGGGTTTTCAAATTTCAATTTTTTTTTGGATCTGGTATTATTATGAGTTATAGGGTTTTCGGATTTGTAATTTATTTGCATTTTGGGAGCTGTAAAGTTGCTAATTTTTTTTTTTTTTTTGTGGGGGTTTAGCTTTGGGAGATGAAAATGATGCAAGCAGGTGTTATATGTGGTCCAATAGATAGGTCATCAGCTAATAAGCAGCCGGTACCTGGTGGTCCAATTACTCCAGTTCACGACCTTAATGTACCGTATGAAGGAACAGAGGAATATGAGACTCCCACAGCTGAGATACTCTTCCCCCTGTGAGTAATTGCGACTTGCTCTTTGTAACAATTTTGTTGTTAAGTCTACTGAGTTTCGTGAAGCTATTTGGCTGATATACTGATTTGTAGCATCTCTTTGCGATTCTCTGAACCTTAAATTGATATGTGCGAGCGGAAACTCTCTCCTGTCATGTTATCCGCTCTCTCTATTGGTAAACTGTGATATTGGTTGAGTTGTTTTTTAATTTTTAAAGTAATTGTTAGTGGTAGTTTGGATATCTGTTAGTTGTATGTGAATTTTGAAGTGATTTATGAGTTCATTCATTTCGGCAGTCAGAATTTTTATGTGGGTTTTTGGAATTGTAGACACCTTTGCAAACCCCCATGCAAACACCGTTGCCAGGAAGTGCGCAAACACCTTTACCTGGAAACGCGCAAACCCCTTTACCCGGAAATGTGCAGACACCTTTATCCGGAAGTGTGGACAATTCATCCATGTATAACATTCCTACCGGATCTAGTGATTATCCCACCCCTGTTAGTGATGCTGGGGGCAGTACTGATGGAAAAGCTGGGAGACCTAGCCCTTTCATGGTAAGCATTGATTTGATCTTTCAGACCTTTTTGGTTATCAGATACTAGTTTCAATGTGTGGTTTCGCAGACTGTATGTGTGAGTGCACATGTGGTGTCGGGTGGTTTTTTTTTTTTCCTGGGATATTAATGGCCAGAAGTTTGCTGCAGTAATTTAGATTTGTTGTTTGGTTATGGATGTGCTGACTGATTTTTTCCATGTTGTCTTCCAACAGCAACCTCCTTCCACTTGGATGCATCAAAGGCCGCCTCTTAGTGTTGATGTCAACGTTGGTAAGTCTTGTCTCATATGAGCAAGTTGTTTAGTGACTTTTTTTTTTTTATGGGTATTAACTAATAAATTTTGTCCATTTGTAGCTTATGTGGAAGGGCGGGAGGAGGTGGACAGAGGAACCTCTCATCAACCCTTGACACAGGTAACCTTTGTTGCTTGTATTGTGTAGTTTTGTGCTTTGAGGAGAGTTCATGGTCAAAAGGTTCTGGATGCTGAAGGTTTATTTTTGGAAATAATTCCCTTGCTTGTCATCCAAAGCAATAACATACTGTTGCCACTGAAGTAGCTTATCTGTATTAATATTGGAGAAAATTCCAGGACTTCTTCATGCCTTCTGGAAAACGGAAGCGCGAGGATTTTGCTTCGAAATTTAACAATGGTGGATTCATACCCCAGCAAGACGGAGCTGGGGATTCTGCATCTGAGGTTTCACAGGTTGAGTTGAATATAAATTCTTATTTTTTATGATATGTTACCTTGAGTTCTCGTAGTTACTATGGGATCCCTCCCAGCATGCAAGCTTTTTTCTTTTTTCAACTTTATTTATTTTATTCATCAACTATCTACTGTCTCATATTTTGAAAACCTTTATTTTCCACAAAAGTGTCAGGGCATATAGGCATCCTAAAGGACCTAAACTTTAAAGTTGAGTTTTGTGAGTAGTCCGGTGTTGGCCATAAAGCTGAGTGCTGTATATGAATTTAACTTCAATTTGTAGTTAATATGTCGGAATTCAGATCAGTTATTTGTAATCAGTTATGCTGTAATTAATTTATATTGCCCTCTTCTTCTGAGGTGGAATTTTGTTCGTAGAAGCAACCGAATTTCAGGAAGTGGAAAATAAGAAACATGTACTCTTTGTCTAAGATGTGTTAACTTTGGAAACTACAAGCTTTATTCTCTTTGCTGGCTTGAACCCAAGATCATTTTTTAAGAAGGTGTAACTTCTATGAGTAGAACCTTTGGAGGTTTTGAGTCACTGGATAAGCCAGAGATGGACAATAAGGTGCTTAGAATTTTGCCAATTTTCATTTTGCAATGATTGGTGAGGTTTAAGTCCACTCGTTCTCCTTTTTTGTTTGTAGACTTAAAGTTAATGCTGAGTGTTTTTCACCTATGGTAGCTAAAACCGTTATAGGACAGAGTTTATGCAAATATTTTCTCATTGTTTCATTTTGGGGCATTGAAGGAATATTTCATCGAAGATAATTTCCCAGTACAAAGCTTCTGACTATCTATCTAAAATTGCTTTTTCCTGGTCTTCTTGTTTGGTTGTCTTAATTTTATTCATGGAGTGCTTCTGTTCTATTAAATCTTCTCTGTACTTCTTTGTTCTTGTATGCCATGTGCGGACTGTGGATTTTGTTGTTTAATGAAAAGGTTTAATCATTCGAGAAACATTTCTTTGCTTAATCCAGACAAGTTTTTGTTCAATTACTTCTAGGAAACTATTTAATTGCATCATGATATGGGAATACTGGATAGGATAGTGGTTCAACCCATGGCATTGACTTTTGGTTTCTCAATTAAGATGGTCAATTAGTTGTCACATGCTTACAATTATTAAAGGATTGGAGATCTTCTAAAATGTTAGCATGCAGTGCATTCTAATGGTTTCTTGCTCATAAAATGTACTATTGTCATAGCTTTGCATAAGATCTGGATGTTAATGTAGCTGTCACTGTTTCCTTTTCCTTTCGACAAGCAATAAACTAATGAAATAAAACCCTGGGCATCATATTTTTGTTAGCCATTTTGACTACTCAGCTTAAAGTTCATTCCCAAAGTATTTCCTTCACTGTTGCTAATACAGTTATTAACTGTTGGAACGATGCCATTTTAAAGGAAAAGAAAAATAACTGCTGTTATATCTTCCACCATGTATCTATTGCCCATCCTTAAATTTGAACCAACGTATGCCATTAGCAACAAGCTTAGAATTTGTTGATCTGTTTGAGAAGCAGGCTTGAGATTTTTATGCTCTTAGATAAAGAGAGAGTGCGAGTGAGTTGGAACCATTCACCCGTCTTCCATGTCCATTTGCTGGCACACCTTGCATTATACAGATTCTTTGCAAGAGAAGGTAGGGCACGCATGCATTTCTCCATAGAATTTGGTGTAGCAGGAGATAGGATATCTATTAGCTCTGACTATGATTCTCTTTTATTAACAGGCTTTGACTCTGATACTTATGCTCTTTTAGTTGGCAGGCAATTGGATTTTATGCAACCAACTTGATTGTGAGGCGCAAACAAACTTTCTTGTTCTTGTGAAACATTTGTGATATTAGTTGACCATCAAATGAGATGGAAGGATATATTTCTTTTATTGGTCCTTAAGATGCCATTGTGATCCACTACTTCTATTTGGCACCAGTTTCAGCTATGCTGCTACCAGAATCATTCCCTCCCCCTCTTCACATTATATTTCTGAACAAAATGTTTTGACTTATCCAGCTTCTGTAAATTAGTTTGAAGATGACCAAATAAATGAATGAGCATTATTGACTACATATTTGCGTTAGGTCAAGTGAAGAATGGATGGATACTATCTATCATATCATTAACTCTGCCCTGGATAAATACTGTCAATCAGCATCATTAAATATTATGTATCCAAGATGCTGAGAGTCTTATGAGTTCTAGCCTTTCAGGAAATAGCTTGGTTGTCTGACCAAATCTAGTCTTGCCATTGCAGTTATGTTATTTTGTTTTGTATGTTCTGGTTCAAACTTGCAACTTGAGATCCCACTAGATTTTTTAAAATATGGTATTCGATCATCCATGGAATCAAGGAGCTGATATGCTTGGAAGCCTCAGTTCATCTCAAGTAATCTCTCTTTAGTTTGTTTGAAAATTAGATGCATGCTAGCCTAACAATGATATATTTAGGGTTCATTTAAGTGCTCATCTCTTTCTAAGGATTTGGTAAATTTCAGAAACTTGCTATTTCTTTAGCTTATGTAATGGTAAATTTCAGGTAAGCAAAGGGAATGATCCCCTTCGCAGTTGTGATACTATCACCACTAAAAATAGAGAGATCTTAGCACGTGTGTCGAGGTCATATTCGAAGATCCCTCAAGTGGATGGGCCAATTCCTGATCCTTATGATGACGTGCTTTCAACTCCCAATGTATGTATTACTGCTTTTGTAATTTTCTTGAAATACAAAGATACAATCAAGTATGTTTTCAATGTGGATTCCTTGTTCTAGAATTATGAATGCATTGGCGAAGTGCTGCCGTGCATCCATCCTCATCCCAACGGGATTTGTCTATTTGTCTAAGTTCCTGTGTTTCTTGCCCCATAAAGGGCAACAGGCACTGGTCCAGTCAGTATAGGATCATATATTTCTTGATCCTATATCTTGTAACCAGAAATATAATATTTTTTACCCAGCGAAAAAAAAAAAAAAAGAGGATGGAAAAACCCTCTCATTCCTGGTTCTTGGATAAGGTGAAATCTGTCTTGTCATTACCCACCTTGTTTTGGAGGTCTTATGAATCTGGACCAGCATCAGGTAGCTGTGATCTGAAGATGATTTTCATGTGGTTCTACATGTATAAGCACTCCTCTAGATACCTACAAATATATCGTCTGCCTAGAACCCTGTCTTTAGACGAAAAGTTAGCAATATCATAAGCGACAATGGACATCATTTGCAGTAATTTTACAAAGTATGGATATTGCATTTTTTTTTTTTTTTTGACAGTAGTTTAGATTATGCATCTATGTTTCTTGGAAATATGTATATACTAAGACGTACAGTTGGCTCAGAATGGTTAACTGAAGCACTTGTTATTTTATTTTATTTTCTGATGCACGCTACAGCTTAAACTCAAAGTACTTTCTTCCATGTTTGTGCTTTGAATATGGCTAATCTGAAAGGTAGGAGGTTGCTCTTAAAAGATGGGAGTTAGAACACAAAAATCCTTTTTTCCTTATTCATGCCCTGAATTTGGTTAGTTTGAAATCTATTAGTATGCTATTAAAAGATGATGGGGCTTAAACCAAAATTCCTCCCATGTTTATATCTATGCCATGGGGCTAGGACGATGGACCAAGTTAGCTCTTTCTGAATATGGCTGGTTAGAATGGTTTTTATCCATCCCATGTTTTTATCTATGCCATGGATGAGATTTTCTCTGAAATCTTATCAGGGGTCCTGTGTTGCTGAGACTATAACCTTATTTATGCCATGGGGCTAGGACGATGGACCAAGTTAGCTCTTTCTGAATATGGCTGGTTAGAATGGTTTTTATCCATCCCATGTTTTTATCTATGCCATGGATGAGATTTTCTCTGAAATCTTATCAGGGGTCCTGTGTTGCTGAGACTATAACCTTATTTATGCCATGGGGCTAGGACGATGGACCAAGTTAGCTCTTTCTGAATATGGCTGGTTAGAATGGTTTTTATCCATCCCATGTTTTTATCTATGCCATGGATGAGATTTTCTCTGAAATCTTATCAGGGGTCCTGTGTTGCTGAGACTATAACCTTATTATTTGTAATGAGCTTTTGGAACTTGAATATTGCATATCATGTTTTTCTCCAGAGATCGCCATTTTCTTTCTAATTTTCTGTCTTTGATTCTTCTGTTGAAGATATACAATTATCAAGGAGTTGCTAATGAAGATTACAACATCGCAAACACACCAGCTCCCAATGGTAAGTTTATGAAATATGTGATAAAGATTATCATTCTTTTTGTAATTGATAAATTTGCTGATCATGTTTGTGATAATTAAGGTATTATTTTTGTTTTACTCCTTTTCCCTTCCCAGATCTACAGGCAAGTACCCCAGCTGTTGCCAGTCAAAATAATGATGTGGACGATGATGATGATGAGCCACTGAATGAAGATGATGATGATGAAGAGGATCTGGATGATGTGGACCAAGGAGAGGAGCTGAACACACAACATTTGGTTTTAGCTCAATTTGACAAGGTAAACATGAGCTCTTCTTGTTTCTTACCGCTTTCTTCTTTTGTTTGATTGGTATTGTTCATCTAACAGGCTGATTTAGTTAGTTGTATATATCAGTGATGCTAGTCTTCTGATAATAACATTTTTTTCTGCATGGATAGGTGACTCGCACCAAGAGCAGGTGGAAATGCACACTCAAGGATGGTATTATGCATATAAACAACAAGGACATTCTCTTCAATAAGGTCTGTCTTCCCTCAAATAATTGACGGTTTTCTTTCATGATCGATATTGCAATTTGGTTCTGTATTATACTGAAATTCCAAAAAAAAAAAATTGTTGGAATGCTGGCTTTCTTTTGCAGGCAACTGGGGAATTTGACTTCTGATTTTGATAGGGAAATATCTGCTTGGTAGCAAGTATCATTTCCTTTTAATGGGCTTAGCCTGAGTTACCATTGGGTGTGTTGTAAGTTTTCTTAAAAATGTCCTGTAGTGAGAGCTCAAGGGAAGTGAGCGAGATGCTTTTTATTTGAATTGAAACCCTTTTGAAGACTGGGTTGTATGGTTGGCCTATTGTACATAAAGGAAGAGTGTTTCCATATTTATAATGTACGACTGCAGGAGGATTTCCTTGAGATCTACCGTTTCTTCAATGCAAACTTGTAATTTCATTTGACATACAATTTGACAAATTGCTTTAGCCCTTTCTATTTATTCACAATTTTCATGTTGTTCTGGTTGGCCGTGACAACTGACAATGATCATGCTCTGTGCCGCTGGTGCCTTCTTCTGTACCTGGTTTAGTGGGCAGGCAGAAGTTCGTTGTGGTTGAGATGCATGATATTTTGCTTTCCATACGCAGCCTATATTGTGTATCTGTAAAATATTGCAAAGCAAAGAGTACTAGCAGATAATTGTCTAGGTAGTTCAGTCATTCAGACCTGACCTTGGCCGTACATGTGCCGTGCAAATTGAATTCTGGTGTCAAGATTATGCCTATGGTGGCTGTTGTCTTCCATTCTTTCTCTTGGGATTTAGTGGTTGGTGTGGGTTCGTCAATTCTAAGCGAACTTTGTTTTTCATGGAGCTGATTAGTCGTCACAAGGTTTCTTGGCAGGCGGCCAATCCTGTTGTGTATTTGGTGTTGGTTTGGCCAAGCGTTTAAAGATCATGTCATGTTAGCAGCAATGCTTGAGATAGCAAGAAAGTATTCTTTTATTTATGGTTATTTACATCTGTCTGGCAAAACCGTGAACAGTGCAAGAAGACATTACCATACTGAGATTAACCACATCCAATCGATCGTCAAGTCACTCATCTTTCCCATGAAGGAGAAAGCTAAACAAATAAACATCCTAAGGATATCTATCCTAAGAAAGTAATGCAGTATTGAGTTGTGTGGGAGAAAAATCCTCAGCCGCAACGAGTTGAAATCGTGCACAATAACTGAACATACGATTCAGAATCATGACCGTGCCTGTGCGTGATCGACGAGCACGCATTTAGATTGGAAGAAAGTAAACAAAGATGACGGCTCAATGTATCCACTGGCTACGGCTGGATGTTGCCAAACTCTTGCCTCTGAGTATGCATCACCAATATCAGCTTCCCTCCCTTTGTCATTATCGCCACATATTACAGGAAACGTAAATTCTTCCGCCTCCGATGGCAATGAGGGAGGAGACAGAGAGAGTGGTGATAGAAGGGGAATTGTAGTAAGAGGAGGAGAGGTCTGAGTAGCAAGCAGAAAAGGTTGGTTGGTTGGGCTAGCGGCGGAGAGTTGATCAAGATCAAGAGCTCGTGGGGCTCGCTGCTGCAGCCTTGTGGGTGGCTTCCTTACTTTGGTATTGGCGCTGGCTATTGGTTGTGCTCGTCTCTCTCTTTCAAACAGGTTGCCATCATATTGCTCCATTATTGAATATGCTAGCTGCTATCAGGAAAAAAAAAAAAAAAAAAAACTTGTCCTGTACCTGATGCACAACTGCAATAATATTGCAGGAGATTTTATCTCTGCCTTTCTCTCCCTTCGCCAAGAGCCAATTTTCATAGAGATAAGAGGGTTAAAAGGGGGTTGGTCAATAAAGTTAAGAGAATTTGTTGGGGAAGCGCAAAGTAAGGGGGTCGGTTATGACTTATGAAGGTGAAAGGTACAAAAAAAGAAAAGAAAAGAGAAATACGTTATTATGCTTTGGATGGCAGTTACCCAGTAACGGTCTTTATCCTACAACCAGTATTTTTGCTGGAAGGGAATTCCATCTGTAAAATGCGTTCATTTCTCACATTTTTCCTCATTCGACGGAGAAAAGAAAGGGAACGCGTGGCAAACCCACTATTTGATGCCTGTTCAGTCGGCGTGGCACCTGATGTGATGCCTTTTTACGGACATGACAAACGTAGGAGAGCCACAAATGCCTTTCCTTAATAGAAGACAGACAGCATAGCAATGAAGTAACAGTAGAAGAACCCAAACAAGATTGAAAACAACAATTATTATTATTATTTTTCAATCAGATCACATAGAGGATGACAGAAACCCATTTTCTATCTTAGCCCATTAACTTTTACTTAAGCCTAGATACTTAAAATTAGTAATTACTATAAACTATACCAAAGTAGGCCGAAGAAAAGCATAGACTTGAGAGCTTGATTGATTATTATTCATGCTAATTGCTTTAACGCGGGTCTTTTATTCCTTCGACGTGGGATTTTTGTTTTCCACACTTTTAAACAGAAAAAGTAGTACTTCAGGAAAAACAAAGTTATAAATTCATTTTTAATGACGAATTACTATTAATAAGTTATGTTATAATTTTTAAGATCAATAATTTCATTTTCATAATTAAAAATTAGTAAAACCTAATGAAAACAATAATTTATTACAAACTATGAATTATCTTTTCTAAAATATAAAAACTAAATTAAATTAATAGAGCCATCAGCTTAAGGACTTGCCGCAATCCTTGTTAAAGTTGGTTTTCTAATTAATGTAGGACTTGTTAATAGCTCTTTTATAAATATAGAAGTTTCGTCTTTTCTTATGTGTGTCTATTGATTAAAATAACACCAGTGCCGTATTTGGGGGCTGAGTTACAGTCAATTGATTTTGTGCATTTTAAATAAATTATTGTGTCCACTCTCAATGCTGATTTTTGACGTAATAAAATAAAGTATTGTATTTGAGTATTTTAATTTTTTGTACACAAATACATCATGGGATATTTAACATGCATTTTTCTATTACAATCCTTTAAATCCTCGGACCATTTGAAAATTAAAATAATAGCATACAGATGATATTTTCAGCTATTATTAATAAGGTTAATAGATTATATTTTCGAAAGATCCAATGAATTACTAAAACACAGCCTCTTATTGATTGAACAAATATAATGGCATTCCAGATTTTGGCTATTTTTATCTAGATTTTCCCCCTCCTTTTCTTCTTCTGGTTTGTTTTTATTCTGCCCTTTTTTTTTCTATTAATTGCTTTCTTTTGTTTTTTCTTCAGTATAAGTAGAATTTAAAATTGTGAATTTTGCATTTTTACATATCCAATTTATGAATATTATTTTCATAAGTTTATAAATATTCCAATTGACCAGAAACATAACAATAATAAGCATACCATACAGAGTTGAAATGTGGAAAAAAAAAATAGTAAGGAGACCATTAATTACAAAAAAATTACATCTACCTAACAATTTCTCTAAAAAGATAAAAAGAGGAAAAAAAAAAGGGTAAGATTTTTAAGAATAAGTAAACAAAGAGAATGGTATGATTTTAAACATTCACGTTATGGATAAACAAGAAACCATGAAGGGAAAGGAAGGGAACTAACCATGACGAGGTACTTAAAAAGGAGATTAATTATTAAATAATAATAATAACAAATGAGATGGTTTATCTTCAAACCTGTAATTTATGGTACATTCGGGGGCTTAGAGATTTTTTTTATTATTTGAGATGGTTTCTTCAAACTTCATCCCTACTCTTTATTCCATTCCCAGCAGCAAGCGTCAAAGCAGAAGATCGTGAGCGACACGTCGCCTTATCAATAAAACGTTCAAAATTTTTCTTCTTATTATTATTTTTCAATCTCGATATGAAGGAGTTACTCCACAATAATGTTCCGAAAGGGAAAGAAACAAGAATATGATAATTAGCATATCAGAAAAATTAGAGGAGGAGGAAGAGAAGATAATAATATAAAAAAGCGGGAAATCAACGACTAACGACCGTTTGATCCTGTCAGTCAGTGATCATGGCTTGCAGTGCCACAACTTCACCACCTCCCTTACAATTTCACTCTCCATTTCACCACCAACCACTTAAACCCAAACCACACAATCTCTTCTTCTGCTCTTTAAGTAGCCACAAGAACCCAACATCAAAAGCTTCATGTCTTTTCAAACCCAACAAGTTTCCTATGTTTTCACAACAACCTTTGCACTCTGCTCACAAACTGAAATTCAATGTAAGAATCTTAAACAATCCCCTTTTTTTCTTTCCTTTATTTTTTTATGCAAATGTTTGTGTGTAGGTTGAGTATTCTGCTGGTGCTGGAGAGGAAGCAGAGTCGTTTGTAACTGACGCTACAAATCAGGAAGACTTTTCTTGGTCTTCTGTCATTTTACCGTGAGTTATTGTGATTGGTTCTTTTATTTTTATTTTTTCACTTTTTATTTATTTATTTAATGTTTGATTTGAACTTAAGTTTGGTGGATAAGGGTTGGATTATCTGTGGTGGGAATTTTGTGCCTTTCTCTTATTAAGCAATTAATATTTGCTGATAAGAATAGATGTTAAGCGATCACACAATGAAAAGTCTTCTACTTTATTTTTTTTTCGTTGCTGAATTTGGATTGAAGTATATCTATTGTTCCGTAATTCTGAAGGAGTAATTTGATTCACTGGATTTCAGATTTCTCTTCCCAGCACTGGGAGGATTGCTATTTGGTTATGATATTGGTGCCACTTCTGGTGCTACCTTATCCTTGCAGGTACTTACATTTGTTTACTGATCCCTTCGTACAATTTCACCAAACAGTTATATTTCATTTGATGGAATGATTTCGGGTTACAGTGACATCCTAATCCATGTTTAGTAAATCTAATTTTTTTAATTTGTCAATTTATCAGTCCCCTGAGCTTAGCGGGATATCATGGTTCAACCTTTCTGCTGTTCAGCTTGGTCTTGTGGTATGGTTTATGTATCTTAATAGTACTATCTAGTGGCCAGTGTCTGGGAATGCATTATAGTGAATTGCGTTGAATGTAGGTTAGTGGTTCCCTTTATGGAGCTCTTCTTGGTTCCCTCCTTGCCTATCCAATTGCAGATTTTCTGGGTACATCTCTTTGCTATTAGATTTTTCCTCAAGCTTGGATGCGGATGGATGTTGCTCAACTAATTGTTTGGATTCATGCAATTAGGAAGGAGGCGGGAACTAATCACAGCAGCAGTGCTGTATGCGTTTGGTGGTCTGGTCACTGGCTATGCTCCAGCACTCGATGTTCTTTTATTAGGACGTCTTCTCTATGGTCTTGGTATTGGCTTGGTCAGATTCTCACATACAACCTTGTTTTTTAATTTTATCTGATATCGCCAAGTCCATACCTATCAAATCACTTTGTTTTACCGTATGCAGGCCATGCATGGCGCTCCTCTCTATATTGCAGAAACTTGCCCATCACAGATTCGCGGAACTCTCATATCTCTGAAAGAACTCTTCATAGTTCTAGGAATTTTGGTAATTTGAGTGATTTTGTACTCTTATCTTCTCATTCACTATCTCCTACGAGACTAACAAATTTGATAACATTTCTACAGTTAGGTTATTTAGTGGGAAGCATCCAAATTAATGCAGTTGGGGGCTGGCGTTACATGTATGGACTTGGTGTCCCAATTGCTTTGATTATGGGATTAGGCATGTGGAGTCTCCCACCCTCTCCAAGATGGTTGCTTCTCAGAGCAGTTCAAGGTAAAGGATCTTTCGAGGAATATAAAGAGAAGGCCCTTTCTGCCCTGAGCAAACTCAGGGGCCGGCCTCCTGGTGACAAAGTGTCTGAGAGACAAATAGGGGAAACTATTGTCTCGCTGAAGTCTGCATATAAGGAAGATGAACCCGAGGGGAGTTTCTTGGAGGTTTTTCAAGGACCAAGTTTGAAAGCATTCATTATTGGTGGGGGTTTGGTGTTGTTCCAACAGGTGCTTCTTCCTCTCTGCTGTTATGAGCTGATTTATTATGTTATCTCTATTCCTGTGTTTGAAGCAAGAGAATGCCGACAATATGAGGTTTATGAGCTGACTTGTGTCTTGATTGTGGTAGATAACGGGGCAACCGAGTGTTCTATATTATGCAGGTCCAATACTTCAGGTAACTGATAATAAAAATCAAACCTTTTTGTTTGTGAAATGGAAGATACACTTCATGTCGTGTGACCCAATCATGTGATATGTTTAATCTATTGTTTCCGAAGAGTGCTGGATTCTCTGCAGCTGCTGATGCGACGAGAGTCTCTGTTGTAATTGGTTTGTTCAAGGTACTTCATAACATGTTATCATGAAGTCTTTCAATATTTGTTGCATTTTAATTTGTTCTTCGTGTCAACTTCCATGCACTCTCCTACTTCTGATGCCAATGCCTATTTGTTGCTGATTGGTCTGCTACAGTTGCTAATGACATGGATAGCTGTCTTAAAAGTTGATGATCTTGGAAGACGACCTTTGCTAATTGGAGGTGTCGGTGGGATTGTATGCATGCTACTACTCTCTAGAACCTTATTACATCTCTCTCCCTCTCTCTCTGTTCCTTTTTTTCTTTTTGAAGATTAAGAATGCATATTCTGCTCTCCGTATGTTGTGTTACAGGCGCTTTCCTTATTTTTGCTTTCTGCTTATTACAAATTTCTTGGAGGTTACCCTCTTGTTGCTGTTGCGGCACTGCTTCTATACGTCGGTTGCTACCAGGCAAGTTTATTGTCCTCTTGCTACGGTCATACGAGTCTTGTCTTTCATGTCTATGTTAAGATAGAACACTTTGCATAGTATCATATTTGGTCTACAAAAGCTAATATAATATAACACAAGAAGCTGTAGCCAATCTTACAGTTCCTTACAAAAGAAGGAAAAAGGAGTAACTAAGGCGTAGTCAGCTGAGCTCCCATGAGCTGCTCTATCTGTCCATGAGATTGAGAAAAGGTAATAAGGTTGATTCTGATAACTTGTCTCAAAATTTCAGATATCATTTGGGCCTATTAGTTGGCTGATGGTTTCAGAGATTTTCCCAATTCGCACTAGAGGAAGGGGAATCAGTCTTGCAGTTCTGACTAACTTCGGCTCCAATGCCATTGTAACCTTTGCATTCTCACCATTGAAGGTATTGGTTCTGAATTTGAGCCCGTTATGCCTTTTCCTCTCACATCTATTGTTGTTTCCTTTCACCTAATTGCTCATGATTCACATTTTTCTCCGTTGTTAGTTGACTTATTGAATTAATATTTGTGAATTCTGTAGGCGCTGCTCGGAGCTGAGAACCTTTTTCTCCTTTTCGGGGCTATAGCTTTGTTGTCTCTCTTGTTTACAGTGGTCATTGTCCCAGAGACTAAGGGTTTGAGTTTAGAAGAAATTGAATCCAAAATCTTGAAGTAAGACGGTCTGAACTCATAAGCTTCCAGTTCCAGTGCACAAATTGTTATGGTTAGTCTCTGTTGACATATCATAGTGTGGTCTTGGACGCTCATCTTCTCGCAACCTCTCCAAACGAATGGTTTGTATATCTTTATTTAGGCTGTATGCATATCTGATATTTTGAGAAAATTGTAGATCCAAAAATTCGATTACAGTTTGTCGCTAAGAATAATACTACATTGCTCTCTCTATGATTTTTTCTTACCTTGCCAACATAAAATGAAGGAAAAGTAAAATGAGGTAAATGCTCCCTCCATATTCAAACATCAGCCAAATTAACTGGTTGCAAGCTGCAAAAAAGAAGAAAATAATCTAACGGCTTTCCTATTTGAAGAAACTTCTGCTGATATTCGTTCTCAAAATGCCCTTGGATGCATTTAACTGAACGAGGCTGCATAGGCATGAAGCCGCAATCCAATGACATCAACCTAATGCTGCTCTGATTCAGTAAGAATTAAAAGATCCAGACTGAGGGCTGAAAGAATTCTTCTGCTGTTAACAAATATTGCTGGAACGGTTAAATTTAACCCATTGTGAGTTGACGCAATCTTGCACTTATTATAGCCAACTTCATCTGCTTTGGAGTGGAACTACGCTCAAAGATTTAAAAAAAAAAAAATTCTCTCTTTTTTTGTCTTTGTTTCTGGAGCCTCGACCTTTACAGTACATGTTTCCTAATCAAACATTTCAATAATTTGTAATGGCAAATCTTAGCATAACACCATTTAGTTATATGGATGCGAAAAAAAAAAAAAAACACTATAAAATGTAGATAATTAATTTCATTTTGTAGTTCAAGATCCACTAGATCTCCTAATTTTAATTCAGATAGTAGATAAATTTCCAAGTTATTTGAATTATATATATATATATTTCAAATGGTGAAGAGAAGAGCTGAACTCCACCCTCAGTTTTTAACTCTTTGTTGACGGTTGGTCATTCTTCATAATCATAAATCACACTACTACACAGCACACCTTTCTCTAATTCAGTTCTTTTCCTATTGCAGTTTATCTGACTGAACTGCTTTGGTCAGTCACAGCCACTACAACAGTTGATCCATACATCCACTACACCAGTTAATCCTTGCCTTTGTGACCTGCAAGATATTAGCATAGGAAAGGGAATGGTTGATTCTCTCTTCCAGGCTCTCATGGGCACTGAAACCCACTATGTTTTCACGTGAATATATCAGTACTGGTAACTATCAACTTAGATAGATGGCTATTGATCAGAGCAATAATGGAGGCTTACTAATCAGCCATCTTAGCCTTTTCTTTTAGGTCATTGGCTATCTATACACTTTCTGAAAGCAGAGTCATCAATATTGCTGCCTTCCTATTGCAAATTTTGTTGCAAAGCTTCTTTTACTTTTCTTAGCTGGAGTTTCTATTCTTTTTTATTCCGCTACTAGTTTGTGAATAAACCACGCCAACAGCAATATCATAACTGCACTCTAATTAAGATAATCTATGATACCGGCTATTGGATTTTCTGTATTTTAGAAAGTTGATTAAAAGACTGTGCTTTCTGCAGATCACTGTACCAGAACTCAAAAGTTCAATGTATACCTATAAAATCAGATTAACCATCCATGTAAAAATGAGGTTGGTGTAAGTGATTCAAAATGATGTAGCATTATGACAATTTACAGCTTTTAGCCCATAACAGAACTAAATGGAGAATTTTATGGAAAAAAGAAAAAAGAAATGACTAAATGAATGGAGAAGGAAGATCCACACTGATTCTAACTAGTTAAGCTTATTCATACCTATGCTCACACAGATCATACATACATAAAAAGAATTATAATTTATACATACAAGCAAATAATAATAAAAAAAAAGAAATTCATCATAAACTCATAATTAACCTATCATTTAATTTTTTTTTTTGGAATCTATAGTTCTCTCCAATTATCACTAGCCACATCCTTTTGGTATCAAATTTTACCATGATTTGTTTGCTTGCATATCTTATTTTCCTACGAAGAAACTCCCTCTGCATTGGTTGTTAAACAAAACAAAGATTCCAAGCTCCAATAAGTAAATATATGATCATTTGCCATTACCATTAATTTTGATTTAACATTACGAAAAGATGCAGCTGGAGCGTATCAATCAATTCTTCGATGCTTAAACAATAACAACAACAATAATAATAAATAATAGCAGTGGCAGAACCTAGAGATTGAAGAATCAAGAAGCAGCTTGTAGAGGCCTGTGTTTTTCAATCTTCCTCTGAAGCTCCTCTTTCTTAGCTCCTACCACCCTATCCACTTCATTCCCTTTCTTCACCAACACAAATGTTGGCATTGCCCGCACACCAAACTCTTGTGCTACATCCTATATATATATATCACCACAAACAAAATTCATACGATCATAAACATAAAAAAAAAAAAAAAAGAATCAAACCAGAATTAATGGGGTCTGCTTATTAAAAGGAAAAAAAAAAGGAGTAGTTAGTACAGTACATACAGGCAACTCATCGACATCGATCTTGGCAAACTGAACATCAGTAAATTTGGCAGCCAAGGCATGGACTTCTGGTTCCATGAGCTTGCAGGGCCCACACCAAGATGCCGCGAAATCAATCACCATCTGTTATTGTTATTATCCAAAATCAATCAATTACACATAAAGAGAGACATGATGATAGATAGATTGATTGATTGTGTTACCAGCTGGGTGGTGTTTTTAATGGAATTGAAGTGGAGCTGCCAACGTGCTGAGGAGTGGAAAGCTGTTACACCCGACTGACCATCCGGTGCTGAATCTTCGCCGGTGGCCGCTGGGCCTCCAAATAAGTTAGACAGTATAGATCCCATCCAAGATAGCACAGCTCCCATGCTTATTTTCCTGTTCTCTATGTTATTCAGTTCCTTTTAGCCGGCAAGCAAGGAATGTGAACTAATTAGGAGTAAGGACTGAGGTCCATTGAATTGACGAGTAAATTATGATCTAGTCCTTGTAGTTTCAAGAAACTAATGCGTTAGTCACTCTAGTATTGTAGTACTATTTTATCATGTGTATTTTCTTGCTTAAATCTTCAAAAAAATATCAATTTAATCCTAAATCTATTTATCTGATTCTCAATTGAATTCTAAACTTATAAATTTTATCAAACTGATCCTAAGCGTTTCAAAAAGTTTATCAATCAAGCCTGTTTGAGAATGTGAATGTTTATCAACATTCTCATCAAAATTTTCTTCAACTTGAGGTTGTTTTAGTGCATACACATACACATCAGACTGAAAATATTAATATTCATTAACTTTTTTCATTAAAATTCCTTGAAATGAACATTATTTTCGTGCTTAAAATATGCATATTAGACTTAAAATTGCTTGAAAATATTTGGGACTAAAAAATACTAAAAGACAGAAAGTATTAAGATTCATTACCTTTTAATTAAAATTTCTTGAAATCAACACTATTTTAGTGCTTAAAATATGCACGTTAGACTTAAAATATTAAAAGAAATATTGACTAAAGGATGCAATAGAAAAACCTTTAAGACATTTGGAACCTAACTGATGAACTTTATACATTTGAGATGAACGGACAGATGTTTGCAAGGAAATGGAAGCTTCCTCAATCATTTACAATCCTTGATAAGCAAGGTGAAATAAGAATCTGTGCGGATTCCCCCGGTCTGCACAAGGTAATCCTCAAAGGATTCCAATCCACCTTCCTCTTCATCACTGATTTTAAGCTCCATGATTCAACGACCATAGCTGAGGATTGAATCGGTGCTAGACAAGGAATAAGCAGAGTAATCGTTTGATCCATGGAAAGACAAGGTGCAATCTCGAGATGCTTCATGACTAACTGGCATCAAACCTATGCTAGCACCATCAAGCGGCATCTCTGGCAAGCTAGCATTCCCATCCAAATATTGCACCACTTGCCTCATGCTTGGCCTAGCTCCTGGTGTAGAGAAAGAACAAAGCAACCCTAGCTTCAATACCAATTCCATTTCCTCCACCCTGTAATTACCTTTCAATTTTGGGTCACATGTTCCAAGAATGTCTCCTCTTTTCCAGGATTCAAGAACCCAGTCAACCAAAATCATCTTTTCTGGTGATTGTTCTGACTCTATAGGTTTCCTTCCACAAGCCATTTCAAGCATCAAAGTGCCAAAAGCAAAAACATCACTGCTGGTAGTGGCCCTGCCTGTTCTAGTAACCTCTGGTGCAAGATATCCCACTGTTCCAACCACACAGGTTGTGTGAGGATTTGCTCCACGATCATGGAATTTAGCAAGCCCAAAATCACCTAGTCGACCATGGAAGTCAGCGTCTAACAGGATATTGCTAGCTTTCACATCTCTATGCAGAACAACCTGTTCCCACTCTTCGTGGAGGTAAAGGAGGGCGGATGCAACTCCTCTGAGGATCTGATATCGCCGAAACCAATTAAGGCTGGGTGTGTCATTGCGAAATAGGAGTTTATCAAGGCTTCCATTGGGCATATAGTCATAGACCAAGAGAAGCTCTCCCTTTCGCCGACAATAGCCCAGGAGCTGGACCAAGTTCCTGTGCCTCAGCCTTCCCATGGTAACAATCTCAGCAACAAATTCTTTCACTCCTTGTTTGGAATCATGGGAGACTTTCTTGACAGCGACTTGCATATTGGAAGCAGGTAATGCTCCTCTGTAAACCACTCCAAAACCCCCACTTCCCAGCAACTCTGTGTCTTTGAAACCTTTTGTTGCTTTGTATAGATCTTTGTAGGAGAATCTTTGAGGACCATATTCCTGTTCCCAATCTTCACGCAGTTCTTCGTATTTCTTCCTCCTTATTATATAAGCAGCACCAGAGATTGATATCAGCAAAATGATTGCTGTTATTGTTGGGATCACAATTCTTAGATATGGTTTGTTCCGTGATTTTTTTTTAGGGGGAAGTGGAGGCAACTTTGACAAGTCGAGACTTTGAGCTTGCCCGCTTTTGTTGAAGCTCCACCCCAGAATATACTGGCTGCTTGCCATTGCTCCAGTAGATGAAGAAAAACCAACGTACATAGAATCCAACATAAAAGAAGAGAGATCGAGAGATGTTGACAAGAGAGGCCAGGTTGGTTTTGTGCTTGTTATAGGAGCAACTGTAACGTTGAGTAGCTTCTCTACTTCATCATAATCTATCCACGCGTGCATCATATTTCCGCTTATGAGAGTCAAGCTCTTATTTTCCTTCTCCTCATCTGAAAAGTAGGTCACTGGAGCAGATTCAATAGATGTCAAGTTGTTTACATCAATTCCAACGTGGTTGTCATTGATGTCTTCAAAATCCGGGCTTCGAATTGTATCTAGCTCAACTGCCAATACATGGTTTGAAGACAATCCATTGCTTGTAGAATTGAAGATTCCAAAGTACTGCGATCCCAAAGCCCCTATGAAGTTCACAGATGGAGAGATTGTGAAGGCGATACCATGGCCACCAAGTGTAGGCAGCTCAGGAACCATGGCAAACACAAACTGGGTAGAAAATGAGAGAGACTGAGAATTGTTGGTTAAAGATGTGTTGAACTGAGAAGGGAATGGGAAGAAAGCATGGCCAATTTGCTGTTTTGAAGTGTTTGTCAGCTCTAACAGACCATTTGGATGGATTTTTGCAATCCCATTGAGAAGCAGGTTGGCTTCAGTGAAGCCATGATAGATGAACTGGTTTTCCTCTTGAGCTAAGGCCAAAAGCTTCAAGGAAACAAACAGGCAGAGTAGAACGTGCAATAATTTGAACACTGCAATCATCATAAGAACACAGAAAATATTTTTGCTTCTTCAATTGTATTTAGGTAGAAGAGGGGAAAAAAAGTGCTTTCACTTTTCCTTGCTTTTTTCTGCGGGTTCAAACCCCAGTCTAAAAGAAACACGTCTCTTCCCATTGTTATAGGGAAGGGAACCCTCTTTGAACCTTTTTCTCAAGAAAAAAGAAGAAGAAAAACTACTTTTCAATGCTGATAAGGTCAGAGAAAATAAAAATTCAAAAATCTTCTGTAGCGAGAAACAATTTTATTGCTAATTGAACTTTCATAGTAATTATAGTTTTACTAGGTATTGCAGTTTGAATCAATAGATTATAACCTACGTTGCTCAGACATGCCTATGAGTATTGGATACGGTGCGCAACTTTCCCGGGTCAGACCTGGTTTTCCAGAATTTGCCTACTTTGTTTTCACAGATTCGAAGTGTCCAAGGAACTGTACTTAATTTAGGGTAAAATGAAGATTGAAGTAACAAAGAGTGCTACGTACAATTAATGGCATTTCATCAATTTATCTATACCAATAAAATTTAGTTCAAGCTAATGAGCTTATGGCAAGGAGGTCTTACATTGTAAGTGCATCAACATAAGAAGAAAAATTCTTTTCAACAATGTTATTCCTAGCTAGGGAACGCAAGCATTTTTTTTTTTTTTTTGGGTAGGAAAAGCAGGCCACATTTGACCACATACAGAAGAACGATACCATCTTAGAAAAGCACTGACGCATTGCTGAATATTGATAGCTGACTGAAAATGACAGTTTCATGTATTCTGTGTATGATGCCAAATTTACCAACGAGTCTAATCTTTAAATGTGGTCAAATTTTAAGAAACGTGGGCTCTCTGATGTTCAATATTCAACTCTAAATTCTGGTCTGATTTGGATTAATTCTGATTAATATAGCTAATTCAAGAAAACAATGACAAGATTTCTGGGAACCATTTGAATGAACTAACTATATTAAAAAAAAATTTACTGACGATCAAATAACATTGACAGTTGCCTGCTTCCAAGATATATCTCCTGCAAGCAGAAAATAACATTTCACGAGGATATCATGCTCAACGGCAGGGAGCAGTTAAACAGGCTTATTGATTTTTTTTATGTTAGAGATTTTAAATTGTCTTTCGAGAGTGGAAAGCAATTATAGTGCATTTCCGTAGTTGCATAATAGTTTGACATAAGTGGATAAGGTAAAATTTTGTAATGCTCAATTAATCATTGTTTTTTTTCTTTCTTTGCCATAAAAACAGCCTCTTTCGGTTGGATTGTGTGTGTACTGTGCATGATTGCTTTTTCATCAAGGACTGCAATAGTTCGTCCACATTCTGGTACGATCTTATACTTTGTTATCCGCCATACATATGGGCTCTCCTCAATCTAGTCACCTAAACTTGAGAGGAGAGTAAGGAATAAGGAGAGCCCTCCTGCTAGTAAACTTTAATTGAGCATATCACTAGATTTTTTAGACTTAGTTCGATGTTAAACGGATTAACGATCAAAACTCATTGGTTTTACTTATGATATAGGAGTAATTTTAGCTAAAAAAACATCGTTTAGACCCTCAAAATCCACTTTAACTCGCTTTTTGAGATTTTTTCTAATTTTTTTAGATTTTTAGTATTTGTTTTTCTTTTGAATTGTTTTAAGGTTATAATCGAAATTGACTATTTATTTATAACTTTGAGACAGAAAAACTCCACTTTTCTTGACTAATATAATTTTATGAGAGAGCATCTTAGTTTTATCTCAATTTTTGATAATTTTTTAATTAACGAAATTGAAACCTATTTTTAAATATTTATATGTAATTCAATAGATTATAATAAGCCGGCATCTAGATTTTAGATCAACGGTATTTATTTTTCTTTTAGTGAGTTTCCGTTGCATCAATAGGCTAGCCTCCATCAGAGTTTGATTAAACCACAAGATTAGTTAATAGAGAAAATAGTGTTGAACTAAGCTTAATCATCAACCCCTTTTGGAGCTATTCTCATGAAGGAGACTGCATTTAATAGTTGAAGCAGCAAGGGCTGCATGCCACTTCAATTTCATGAACCTTCTCATACTTTTCTTAGTGTAAAAATTAATACGAGCTCGCAGCTCAATTATCGATCTATTGCATTGCATCTTTTCCAGTCAGTCACCGTCGGAGCAGGATATCTATAGTCTTAATGAGGCAAATGATATAATTTAAATAGAGTAAAAAGGAAATATAGTACGAGTTAATAAAAGCTCATAAGTTACAAGTGGTTGGAAAAAAAAAAATCATATAAATGCTGCAATCTTCAAAATTCTGTTGCATCTTCCTCTATATTTCACATTGAAACAATGTGTCTTCATGTACATATTTACCTCATCAAGCCATGAAGCTTTGCTGGTTCAACGACCACTGAGGATTGATTCAGAGTCAGACAAGGAATAGGAAGATATATCATTTGAAGGTATAGGGATTGTTAAAACATAATCTCTAGATGCTTCATTGCTAACTGGAACTAAACCAATTCGTGCACCATCAAGTGGTAAATCTGGCAAAGTAGCGTTTCCATCCAAATATTGCACCACTTGCCTCATGCTAGGTCTAGCTGCTGGAGTGAGATGTGTACAAAGCAGACCTAGCTTCAAAATCAAATCCATTTCTTTCTCCACATAGTTACCTTCCAATCTAGGATCAACTGTCCCAAGAATGGCCCCTCTTTTCCAGGATTCAAATACCCAGTCAACCAGAACGACCTCCTCAGGTGGTGTTTCTGACTCTACAGGTTTCCTTCCACAAGCTACTTCAAGCATGAAGGTCCCAAAAGCAAAAACATCACTACAGGTAGTAGCCTTTCCTGTTCTAGTAATCTCTGGTGCAAGATATCCAACAGTTCCAACCACATTGGTTGTTTGAGGAGTTGATCCATGGTCATGAAACTTAGCAAGCCCAAAATCTCCTAGCCGTCCATTAAGATCGGCATCTAATAGAACATTGCTAGCTTTCACATCTCTATGCAGAACAACTTGTTCCCACTCTTCATGGAGGTAAAGAAGAGCAGATCCTACTCCCCTGAGAATTTGATATCGCTGAGCCCAATTAAGGTTGGGTTTTTCTTTACAAAATAGGAACTTGTCGAGGCTTCCGTTAGGCATATAGTCATAGACCAAGAAAAGCTCTCCTTTCCGCCGGCAGTAGCCTAAGAGCTGTACCAAGTTCCTATGCCTTAGCCTGCCCATGCTGGCAATTTCAGCTACAAATTCCTTCATTCCCTGGTTCGAATTATGAGAGACTTTCTTGACTGCAATTTCCACCTTGGAAGAACGTAAATCTCCTCTGTAAACCCTTCCAAAACCTCCATAACCAAGGAGTCCTTTGTCTTTGAAACCTTTAGTTGCTTTATAGAGATCCTTGTAGCGAAACCTTTGAGGACCATATTGCTGCTCCCAATCTTCGCGTACTTCTTCATATCTCTTCCTCATAATATACATAGTTGCAAAACTTGAGATGAGTAAAACAGATACTGTTATCAATGGGATCATAATTCGTAAATCTGGTTTGTTGGTTGAATTTCTTTCAGGAGGAAGTGAAGGAAGCTTTGAAGTGTCAAGGCTCTGTGCTTGCCCACTTTTGTTGAAGCTCCAACCAAGAATATAATGGTGACTAGATACAGAACCAGTGGATGAAGAGAAACCAACATACAGAGAATCCAGAAGAACTAGAGAAAGATCAATAGTTGTTGACAAGAGAGGCTTTTGAGGTTTCATGATGTTTACAGGAGCTAGAGTTACGTTGAGTAGCTTCTCCATTTCATCATAGTCTATCCACACCTGCATTGGATCCCCACTTATGAGCTGCAAGCTCTCATTTGTCCCTACATGTTCCGAGAAGTATGATGCTGGAGCAGATTGAATGGATGTCAAATTGTTGACATCTACCCCAACATGATTGTCACCGATATCTCCAAACTCCGGGCTTCTTACAGCATCAAGCTCCACTGCAAGCAAATGGTTTGAAGATAAACCGATTGTGGTAGAATTAAAGAGTCCAAGATATTGAGTGGCAGTGGCACCCTTGAACTCTGTAGATGGAGCGATAGTGAACGCAATTCCATGTCCACCACGTATTGGCGTCTCCGGAACCATGGCAAACACAAAGTTGGTAGAAAATGAGAGGGACCGAGAATTGTTGGAGTAAGATGTATTGAAATGGAAGGGAAATGGGAAGAAAGCATGGCCAATTTGCTGCTTTGACGTGTTTGTCAGTTCCAACAAGCCATTGGGGTGAACACTTGCAATCCCGTTGAGGCTCAGGTTGGCTCCCTTGAAGCCGTTGTAGATGAACTGGTTTATCTCTTGAGCCAAGGCCAGGGGCTTTAAGGATATGAAAAGAGCTAGTAGAAAATGGTGCCATCTAAGCAATGCTGCCATTGATAAAATAAGAGAGAGAAGGTTATATTTGCTTCTCAGCTTTTTAAAAACTCTTATGATAAGAAGTTAAGAGCCATTAACCTTTTGCATTCGAATCCTTCAGCCGGAAGACCGACATGCTTTAAGCAGCTTCAATGTCAACAACTTGGACTTGGGAAAAGCAATGACAACGTAAAACATTGGGTGAGTGAAGTTAGAAACAACTTGCAACTCCTAAATGGCTCTGTAGGCCACATAAAGAAAATTCTAGAACAAAAAATATTATTGAAGGAAGAACAAGAATATTTCAACTACTTGTATGTAGTTGACATTCAGTGCTTTAGCATGTTCTAACGAATTTGCAATTTGTCAAGCATACGCTAGGTAGCAAAGGCTGTTCGTTCTTTAACACAAGTACAGCAACATATATATATATATATATATATATATATATGGGTTCTCTTGCCAAATAAATTATGGTATGAACATAGATTTTAGCAACTGGATGAAAATATGAAAGTTTTTGGTTGCTTTAAGCTTGATGTCAAAAATGAAACTGTTGTTGCTCCCAATTGGGTCAAGTTTCTAAAAAGGCATGCATCCGAAAGGCCAAAATTCAAAGATGAACTGTTGTCAGTTCTGAATTTCGATGACCAAGAATAGCAGAAGAATAAGGAATTTTGGGGAATTCGTTGACTTATACAAATATAAAATAAAATAAACATATAAATAAAGCAGCCATGACCTCATAATGTTGACAGTTGCCGCTTCCAAGTTCCAAATATAAAGTCATTGTCATGCTTAAAATAATATTTAGTCTGATCATCTCTGATTGCTAGGGTCTAGGGATACAGCATTAAGCACCTGTGGGGTTTGATAGATTCCTTTACAATAAATGTTGTTCAAAGCATCGCCAGGACTCATGTTTGGAAAGTGGGAACTGCTTTTAAATCGATCAAAAATATATATGGAGGGATCACATAACCATGGGATTTGGGAAAAGACGAGGTAATTGATCCCACTCCAAACGGTCTCCATTCACACTACTGTAATAGAAGTTGATGTTAGGAAAAGACTCAAGGAAGAAAATAGGATAGAAAGATAAAAACAACCATCCAATATAAATATTTTCGTGATTTAATAATTGTGTTGACAACTGTATTAAGATTTCTCAGGCTGCATTAAAATTATTTATCAGAATTTTATCAAATACTGACTTATAAATACAAACAAAACTAAACTATCATATGTATAGCGTTTTAAACTGCTGAGTCACTTCCGTGTTAATCTCCACATCTTAACAGTTGAAACTTGAAACTAATTTTTGGGAAGGACATGCGACAGTGGTTGAAAGCAACATGGTTCCGGCATTTTCCATGGGATTAGCAGTTCTGGTTTGGTGGTCATTTTCGGTACTTACCACATCAGTCTACTACGTAGAATGAAAAACAAGTGCATAGCACTAATCTTCATGCCAGAAAATCGAATGGTGGCCCCACCGTTACGATGTTTTTGTTGTTAAGTTGCGTAGAGTCGCATGGGGTTTAAAATGCTACACACATTATAAATAGAGATAATATCATTTGTATTTATAAGCTATCACTTGATAAAATTTTAATATAATTGAAAAATAGGTATAATTATTCTGAATCGCGTTAATTTTTATATTGTGTGATTATTTTTATCTTTCTTGCTTGATTTCTTTTCCAACTTATTTGAATATCTGCTATGTAGTTTATAGTCAGGAATTAGCTGCATTCATGAACTGATCATATTCTTAATTTAACACTGTTGAATGGTAAACATTTTGTTACCATGCTCTCTCTCTCTCCGTACCATATTTGCTGTCAAAAAATGAGGCAAAATGCACCTTATGATCAACAGAGATCAGTTGACTGATGCTCATAAAACAGTAGCAAAGAAAACAGCTATTCATCATAATTTCCAGAATTCCATTCCGTCTACTTTGCCACTGATATTAAGCTCTCCCATGCTGCTCAAAACTGAGCAATTTGAGCTGAAGACCATCAGGTGATGTAGAATTGCTGATTAAACTACCACTCTGATGATTTAATTAGTTTCAGATGACGAATAGAAAGAAATGTTACATTCAGTGAAGGGACCCACATCCACAAAATGCAATCTCTAGATACTAATCACTACTAATTCCAGGCAATTATTGCCGCCATCATTGGTAAACTATTTATTACGATCATATATATAGTATTTGGTACACGGAATAACAACAAATTTCTTTATCAAATTCTCCATTCAGTTGGCTTGAAGTATTCTTGCATGATTTTCTTCTTCAGTAACTGCAACGACAAGATATCCCATAAGAAGGAATTATTCCCAAGGTACATGTCAACAAATCATACTACAGATTTTAGCCCTAACAGCAGGCCAGCACAACCTTTTAACAATAATAAATATGATAAAAACATGTTACAACCTATAATCCATTCTGATTTTAGCTTGTCTCCAACTATATTTGTAATAAATTGTGCTACTAGAGACTGAGGGAAAAATTAAGTTACCTTCAAGAGCGTCAGTTGAGATGGGAATATTTGAGGATGAGTTCTTAGCTGAATGGTAAACTGTAGGTTGGGAGGACTCCGGGCCCCGAAGAAGAGAGTTAACAGCATCTTTCACCTTATCCACGACACTCGCATCACCACCAACCTTCCTTGGACTTATTGCTTGAGATATCGCTTGAGAAAGTGCCTTGTCATCTTCTCCTGGCTCAAACTTGTGCATTATATATTCCTTCACCGAAACTCCTTTATCCCATTTTTGCTCTCCGGTTCTGAAATGGTTACCAGATGCGGCATCTATTGGGGCTCGGGCTGGATCTGATGCAACTTGGTCGATTGCTGCTTTTGTTGGTACTACTACAGATAATGCTGCTCTTCCTTCTTCCACAGGGTCTAATCCTGCTGCAGCTGGTGCTTCAGGGGTTGAAATAGCAAGGCTTTGAATCTTGGAAGCGATTGCATGGGAGACATCAGATACTGTAGCGTATGCTGGTGCCAGCTTCTCTCCCACAGTTTCAGTTAGTGTCTTGGGACAGTTCTTATTTTCTTCTTTCCCGCTTACAGTTTCAGTTATTGGTTTGTCTTCAGCAGCACAGGTCACACTACTTGGCAAAGCATGCTTCTCCGATATCACAGGAATTGCTCTTGGATGCTGTCTAGCTGCCTCCTTATACCCCTCGGGAGCCATCTCTGATTCGTACACTGAGAGATCATGTAGATGAGTTGATTAAATGCACATTCGTTTTGGCAAATATTCCAAAGAAATTTAATCTCTTAAGATTTTATGTTGTTCGTACTATACGAAGAATAAGACTATGATGTAAGTTACTTGGTGCTCCAAGATATTCAGGATTTTCATCATCTTCTTCATCATCATCCAGGCTAACACCCCATGAAGGAGTGGGGTTGCCATCGTCACTATGCTTCTTCTTGCTGAGAGTGCTTCGCCATTTCTTGGCCCTCTCCTTCACTTTGGCAATAACTGATTTCTTGTGAATGGGGTATTGATCATACTCCAGTTCATGGTCCTTCCAAAAAGTTGGTGAGTGTGGCGACCACCTAGATACTTCGTCAGCTGCACATGCAAACCTCATAGGTCAGAAGTGACAGGGACATGAATTTTCGTGACTTTGGTATCAAATACATGCATTTATTTTTCACGAATAAATTACGCTGTAAAACAAATTAAAACACATTTGTTATCAATTCTCAATATCTGAACAAAGAGTTGATGAATCAACTGAACATAGACAAATCCTTAAATGGTTTTAAGCTGCGAATAAGCTATAGCTCAACCATCATGTTGTTATTCCCATCTCCTATACACTCGCGAGTTCAAAAAACAGAATCATTAACCCGTTCTTCTATTATGGATGATTACGCTGCAGTTTATGCGATTACCTCGTAGAAGTTCTTCCACAGTTGGGCTGGCTGGAGTTCTAGGGCTGTTGCCATGTCTGTGTCTGAAATCAGGTGGAGCCATTGCTCCAGTACGTGATTGAGGGTGTGCCATAAATTCCTTCACCGTTGCGTTTCTCTCCTAATGTCCATCTCTTATTACAGAGAGGGAAATTTAAGAGAACGGGGGATGCCCAAGCATCTCATTCCGGAGTTCTTGCACAGGCAGTGAATAATAGCCGCATATCATCTGGTAAAAGGCAGAGGGACCTGTGGGCTCCGTTTTTACATGTGGCAATAAGGTCAATGCAGTTTAGTTGACTGCAATTGCTAGTCACAAAAGGTTTACCTCTTGAAATAGGAAGTTGAATAAGCCTGCATAACTGTTTTCCCTTTTATAGTCTTATGGCTTCAAAGAGGTATTTCCTTTCTTATGGTAGCCTCGATGGACCAAAGAAAAATACTGGCCACCATGATCCAGAGGAAAAAATGCAGCTTCATAGATCTCACTTAAAAATTCCCCGTCTTTTTTTCTCAGTTCATGATCATATACAGATGGCAACACCCATCCTAACCCTGGTTATTGCCATCAATTTACCTGCACCCTGCTTTGTCTCAATTCTGACAAGGAAAAATAACGAACAATTTACAAAGAACAAACCACATTGCCTTAAACACACCAACTTTGGTTATAAGGAAACCTTGAGAGCATGAGCATCAAATCCAAAACAATAACCAAAGTGTGAAGAGAAAGAAAGTCGCATTTATGAACAAGTAAACTCTTCACATTAACGATCTCATATCTAATACACTTCAAATAGCCACAGCTTCTCTAGGGGAGGAAAAATCACAACCAAATCTATATTTTTATTTAGATTCTTCTCAAACCTTTATCTGTTTCTGTTTAACTCAATTGAACGTTAATCCCAGAGCAGTCGGGGTCTGATGGAACTACATGGTGACTTTCCCTCTTAGTTTTTGTCCAAGACAAAAGTGTGATTGACCCTCATTTTCCGTATGCCAAAAGCTAAAGTTTGAGGGGAAAAAAACCAAAACTATACAAGAGTGAGAGAGCAAAGAAAAGCACAAAAAAATGAACCAAAAATAATAATGGAATCCCATTACAATATAAACTCTTGAGGGCATAATTTAGTCATTCATCTATAAAATTTTTCTTTCCTTTTCTCCCTTCTCCAGAATCTCGGAATGTCCCTGTCAATGGAATCATATTATCATTTATTATTTTTTTCCTATTTAGCATACTTTTGTAACTAAAAATCTTTAGCATGTTTTTGTAACAAAAAATCTCTTGATTTTCGCTATAGGATCTTTATTTATTTGTGTATATTTGTGTTGTAATTAGGTCTTAAGTTAAGGAATCTGACGTACTCTTGATGTCTATGTGTTGTAAATCTTTTAATAGAATAATATAGTAAATTCTTCAAAAAAATCTCTTTAATTTTGTCATTGTATCAAAACCTGAACTCTGACATTGTTTCATCTTGTATCTTGTTACTGCTAGTTTCGTGATCCTAGTGTTTGTTCTTAGTTATTCTTGATCTGCTATTATATATCTGATTTGATCTCCAAGTCTTTTTTTCTTAATTGAATCTTGTCTTTAGAACAATTTCAATATTTTTGTATTCAATTTAATGACAAGAACTATTATGTCTGCAAATTTCAATTTTAAATCTTTGTCACTGGAAAGGAATTACGGGGTCATCTTGATGGGACGAATCCTACACCTAACACAGAGAAGTAGAAGAAAAAATATGTGAAATGGGAAGTGCAAGATGGTCAGAATATGTCTTGGATTCTTAGAACTATTGACCCATCCATTCTTCTAAACCTCAAGTCTTATATAACCTCTAGAGAAATGTGAGGTTACTTGAAGAAAGTTTATAAACAGAGCAACACAGCATGTAGGTTTCGAGTTGGAACTTGAGTTGGGCATTCTCGTTCAAGTCAGCATGTCAATCCAAGATTTTTACTCTTCCTTTCAGAATCTCTAGGTTGAGTATTCTAATATTATGTATGCAAGTATATCTCTTAAAGGACTCCCTATTCTCCAAAATGTGCATAAGACCACTAAGCGAGACGAGTTTTTAATGAAATTAAAGTCAAAGTTTAGAGGAATTAGGTCTAATTTAATGAAAAGATATCCAACTTTCTTCTTGGATACTAATCTAGGTGAACTTTTAAGAAAAGAACGGACTCACTACTCAAGTTATCATGAAGCGAAAGCTCAAAATTCTACTCCAATCTTGTTGTCTACACTACTCAAGTGAAATCTAAAAGAGGTAGAGACATGATTAATGTCCAATACTATAGTTGCAGAGGATTTGGGCACACTACCATCAATTCTACTAAGAAATTATGTAATTATTATAAGAAAGTAGGACATATCATCAAAGATTGCTTTATTCAGCCTCCAAAGAAATTTGAAATTGCCTACAATGTCTCGATTGATTCCCCGAGTGCTTCCAATCCTCGCTACCACTTCTCCTACTTGTTCTTATGCTCTTAGTCCCGGTTAGTCTTCTATTACTCCCGAAATGGCCTAGCAAATGATAGTTTCTATTTTATCTCGCTTTATAAATTTCAAGTAACAAACATTCTATTTCAAAATCTTGGTATTTCAACTTTGGCGCTTCAAACCACATGACCAACATTGTCTTGCCTCTTACTACCGTCCAAAACTATAAGAAAATCTTCAAACTCACATAGCCAATGGTAATTCCTTACCCATCACGACCGTTGGTGATATCTTAGTCTTGTTAAATACTATTTTTATGTCTCCTAAGTTGTCCACTAACCTTATATATGTTGGTCAATTGGTTAACAACAATTGTAATGTTCAATTTTTAAATTTTGGTTGCGTTGTGCAAAATCGAGTGTTTGGAAAGATGATCGCACAAGGACGGAAAGTGGGATGTCTTTCGGTGATTTAATCTTTTTCCTTTAGTTGTTAAATTTTGTTGTTTATAATATTGTTCAATGTGATAATCGAGTGTCGCATAAGCGTTTCAACCACCTAATTTTTATGTATTTTGCATGTTACTTAAATCAGCTTTACTTAGTAAAAAAAATTCAACTTCTATTGATATTGTCAATGTTGATTGTGCATCTTGCAAACTTGGTAAAAGCAAAACTATTCCCTCTTCTTTGCATACAACTCACACCACCAAATCTTTTTAACTCATATATACTAATGTTTGAGGTATTGCACCAATGATTTTTCATGAACTTACAAATACTTTGTCACATTCATCGATTATTTCACTAGTTGTACTTGGATTTACTTTTTTAAGTTTAAAAGTGGAATTTTCTCTCGTGTTTAAAGTCTTTCTTGCCTTACTTAAGACATAATTCTCCTCTAAAATCAAAAGCTTGCAATCAGATTTTGATGGTGAATATACGTCAAATGAATTTCGATCGTGTTTTCAAAGTCATGGAATTATATCACAACGTTCCTATCCTTTCACTTCATAATAAAACGATGCGGTCGCAAGAAAGAATCACAAACCTTCTTAATATTGTTTAAACTATTTTTGTTGATTCTTTTGTTCTTTCTCAATTTTGGTGCGAAGCTTTATCTAGTATCGTTTATTTAATAAATAGGTTACCTTTTCCAATCTTGGACAATGCTTCATCCTATCTTTGCTTGTTTGGCATGCCCTAGATTATTCAAATCTTTATGGTTTTTTTTTTGTTATGTTTGTGTTTTATTCATCTTCTCGCACATAAAAGAACTAAAATCACTACCCAACATGTCAAGTGTTTTTTTATGATAAACTAGAAATCAAAAAGGCTTTCTTTGCTATGATTCTCATAATCATCGCACTTACGTATCTAGGGGTGTAATTTTCTTTGAAAATCAACCTTTTTTAGCATACAACATATTTTAGAATCTTTTTTTATATCTATTTTTCCATACTTTCTAGAGTCTCCAACACCAATATAAAGATTTAAGCCTAGTCATGTTTATCAAAGATGTCATCCTCCCACATATGATCATCTTACAAGTCCTACAAAGGTTCCTCTAAATCTCTCTCGTGGCATCTAATCTCGTTTTACCCATTGCTAGCAATCTAACTCTTTCCTAAATAAGTTCTAAAACTTATAAACCTCTTGATCAGTATGGATTTCCATCTCTGTTTGCTATTTTACCTTTTATTTGCATTCCCTCTAGTTATAAACAGTGCCATGGAACATGAAAGCCGACAACGAAGCAATGGAAGCGTAACTTCAAACACTCGAGAAAAATCGCACTTTGGATATTGTCTCTTAATCCTCCAAATGTCAAACCAATTGGGATAACCGAGTTTATAATATGAAACTTAAGTCTTTTGGCTCTTTAGATGGATACAAAACTCGAATGATTGCTCTTGGAAATAAACAAGAATATGAGTTCGATTATGAAGAAACATTTTCTCTAGTTTCCAAGATGACCATAATAAGAACTATTCTTGCTATTACATCCTCTAAGTCCTACCCCTTACTTTAGATGGATGTAAAAATTGCCTTCTTGTATGGGAACCTCAAAGAACAAATTTATATGAAATTTCCATCTCATATGCGAGTCATTTCTCCTCATAAGGTGTGCAAGCTAAAATGATCTCTATATGGGCGAAGCAAGTTTTGTAGCACCTTTTTGAACTTCTCTTTCACACAAAGCCAGTATGATTTATCTCTCTTCTTCATAAGATAACCCCGAGTATGGTCCTTCTTTTGGTATATATGACGATATTATCATCACCGGTAATAACAAAAGAATGATTACTAAGCTCCAGCATATGGTATGTAGTGTATTTCATATGAAAGATCTTAGACATCTCACTTATTTCTTGAGACTAGAAGTTTACTCTCATGCTCATAGGTGTTTTTAAATCAACATAAATATGTCCAAGACCTCATTGCCTTGGCTGGTTTGAAGGATGTTGCTCATAATGATATAATAATGGAGGTTAATGTGAAATACCTAAATAATGATATCAAGCTTTTGTGTAACTCTCGTGAACTTACTTAACGTAGCTATACATACGAAAATAATTTTATCTACATCTATTGAGTCATACTTATGATTTTTGTGTCATGTTTGTGTTTGGTGAGTTTAAGATGCTTGGGTTTAAAAAAAAATTAACCGAAATTTAATTCTCGAGCTCAAATATCTCTTGAAATATCCATGATTATGTGAGCATAAATTATATGTCATTTCTTTTATATTTGTGGTGTGAAAATATTTAAGGTTATGAAATTGTTTATAAGAATACTTTTCTTTGAAAATTAATTAACCATTAATTATTTTTCTATAATGTATATTTAAAATGACTATGCAAGTGAAAAATATATCACATTTAAGAGTCATAGTCAAATTTCATGAATCAAATAAGGTTAGGAAGTTGATTAGTTTAATTATCTTTTTGTTTCTCTCTTTAGTTAGTGATTTGACATAAAATCTTTCACCATACTTTCATTGTACTTTCTCACTTAATTTTGGAAGGTCAAACACTCCAACTTGACTGTCTTTTTGTCTCCATCAATTGACCTCTCTTATCATAAAAATTGGACACTTGGAATATTAAACATAAAAGAAATAAAAAGAAAAAGTATAGTATTAAAATTGGATGAAAAGATGAAACCTTGCCATTCTTTTTAGCCAAAAATTCATGCCCTTCAAAAAGAAGAGAGAAAATGTGAGTTTAAGGGAAAGA